AGCGAGATGCGATTATACATCCCTTCAATTATTCAAGTGATTTTTGTCCAAAGCTTTGGTAGTAGTGTGGTCACTGCGATAAACGGTATTTGCCGATTGGACACAGAGATAAATATCGATCTATTATGGCGAGAAAGCTAAAGTGAATGTCATAATCGACATACGATTGTATGTTGCTGTTCAATAAGCTGCTACTTTTGATGATCGATGCGAACTTGCTTTTCCAGTCCCTCGTTACTTTGTTGCATACTACCTGTTTCTCACCCATTTCATTTTGCTTCTCTTGGAACTTAAAAAATTATGTTATAAATCTCATCTCATCCTTCGCTTCCTCGCAGCAACGAAGCTTCGAATCGTTCTTATAACCACTTGTCACTCAGATAGATTCTTGCTTCGAAATGTCATGTATACATCACTGCCCCTCCTGGCCTCCTTTACTTATCAAAGCAATTTCGGGTATATATATGTATTCGTCTTGTCCGTTGTGAACGCAACGGGAACGTCGTTTATGAAGGCGCCCAGTAAACAATATTAATTACGAATTTACGAGAACATTCTCACAAACTTGAAAGCTCTCACTTTGTCAAAATTGTGCTCTTTATGCGATGGGTCATATGAATTGACATTAAGGGCGTGCTAACCTTTTTTCCTTGGTAGTAGCAAATTGTGTATCACACTCATAGCAAGCTTCCAACGTTCGCTAACCTTGTTGGCGGAGCGTATGCGGGCCTGCGCCTGTGCGTTTGATGACTAAGCAACTCCTTGTGTGCCAATGTGTTCCAAACTCCCAATCCTTCTCCGAGTCGCCTCCTACTAACATTCAAAGTGAGCCTTTCGCGCTATATTTTTGCGATGGTTTTATGCACTATATAAAATGTTACTAATACTAGGGCCTTGGAACCACCCCAACGCTCACAATCTACTATGGCGTCTATCGGTGATCTACCTATTGAGCTCCTGCTCGCCATCTTCAAATTGATATATGACAACGACACCCAAACGAATAACTTAGGAGATCAATTTGTTGTTGAAGGAGGATACTCTGAACATGCTTCACTCTGGATCGAAGATGACTGGCACAGGCCGACGTTGTTTCCTATGACAATTGCCTTCGTTTGTCGCCATTGGCGAGATATACTGGCACGGTCCCCTGAGTACTGGAATAGGGTGGTTTTTGAAGTTGGTAGAGACCCCACCCCTCTGTTGGATGCGTTCTCCTGGTCGAACAACCAACTGTTGGACGTTCTGGTTTGGAATCGAATACCAGATCTCACAGCTGCTGGGAAGGTTTTGGAGAATGAACGCGTTTCAGCTATCACCGAATCACTCACTCCTCACTTCCATCGATGCTGTAGGATAAACTATGAAGTCACATATGCATCCTCGTTGCCTCCAATTGCGACCATATTTCAACCAAAACCATACATTTTGAGGCAGTTTGTCTTCGAGACCCTTGTGGACGATATTCAATATGGCCATCCAAGCAACTTGAATTCCACGGTGGTGGACCCGAACATGCCTATTGCGCCATTCTCCAACCTTGCGGTCCTTTCGCTCAGCGCTCGGTTGTTCATTGACCTGGGTAGAGTATACCCTAGTTGGCTACACAATCTTCGATCACATGCCTATCTCACCCTCACCATCTCCCAATTCCGTTTCCAACAAAAGAGTTATAGCGATGATCGGAGATACACTCTTCTCGAGTTCCTCAGCCATCTTGGGGCCATGCCACAGCCCGAGGTGCTTCGCCTTCGAAATCTAAGTCTTGGATACGAATCAGAGGTCCCTACCACAGACCCGAAATATACCATCAAGCCAACCTCCTTATTCCTCGACAATCTTGGAGAGAATTTCCTCACAGAATTTTTCGAGAGGACGATTTTATCGTGCGAAAACATTTATATCAATCGATGCACCATTCCTTGGATCAATCGCCCTTTGAATTCGTCCTATTTGCACCTAGACAATCTGGGCTATATCCACAATATCTCCAATATTCTGTGCGTGTGGCAAGGGTCTCATCTCTCCCTCGATTCCTGTGCTTCATTTGACGACGATTTACTGGACCGATTGGAGGATGACGGGCGACTGTACTTGAAATCGCTGACTGACCTCACTTTGAAAGATTGTATCAACTTCACTTCGGCTGGCTTGAGAAAGCTGATGATGTTGCAGAGGGCCATGGCGGCTGCGGAGGACATTGAGCAAATGACGCTTCATACAGTTTCTGTGGAAGGTGGGAGGCTTAGTCTTTGGGAAGATGATATTAGCTGGTTTAGGCAACAGAGAGGCGAGACGGACGTTTCCTGGACAATCATTCATCCTGATGGTACTTATGCTTATCCATTAAATCACTATAGACTTGGGGAAGACTAACCAACTAGCTTTCCTTGTTGAGAATATCGATGTACAATTGCAACTTTTCTGTTAGGCTGTCGTTTCATATGTGGTAAACCAGTATTTCAACACGGGTCGCCTTATCTACACTTTGAACCGCATCCTTAACCATCGATATTGATCTTGAACCAATCCAATAGTGCAAACACCCAGATTGCAAATCTGTAGATGAGACAAATGGTAGGACATAAAAAAAATCAGACTCATGGAGGTTACGTGGGCACTGGGCATAACCTGAGACCTTGCACAATTTTAGTGAGTAGTGATAAAAATAAATGTATTTCTAAGCTTTGAAAATATTCTGTACACGAGCTCAAAGAACGTGTTCATGTTATCTGCCACAGTGCCAGGCCGTAGCCGCGTCGCGACGTTGCCGGCCGCCAAACGCCAGAGATCTAGATGCCTTAAATTTTTTGCGGCTTTTGCTGATACCGACTACATACCTCCGCTTAAGCATTCATCCAACATTGAATAAACAAAACCTTCTGGCAAATTACTTTCAAAGTTGTGGGTCCGGACCAAGGAAATTTCCCTTTCCCCCCACAGTCCACTCTTTTTTTTCTTTTGCCCTTTTTTCCCTTTTCGAAAACAGCCGCAGTTTGCGACCCTGATTCACATTTTGTTAGGCGTATCGAGCCGGTATTATACGTACCGGTTATGTAACAGTTTTTACATTTAACCACATATATTCGACCCTGGCGAATGAGGTCAGACCTCTGGCGGCCATTGAAGCAGATTGATTGGTTTGACTGTAACTTTGATTTTGACTTCATTGGGCCGCATACTACTGTGTCAAAAGCTCTATTAGCGCGCAAATAATTGGACTCCAAAGTCGATATAATTTAATACTTGTGAGCGTTGCTAGTTTGAATGTTGACTTCGTTTTATTATGGGTATACCGCATACCGGATTCCCTAAATCATTGGCTTGAAGGTTTCTCGTTGAGGAAGATATGCGAAGGGTGAACTGCCTCGAGACATCAATAACGCCCAAGAACACTGAGGCTGATCAATTGATCAAAGAGAGAAGATTAGACCCTAAAAGATAAGTAATCGAAGCCGCTAGTCTGTCGAATCGCTAGTTTCTCCGGTAAAAAGATTTCGCGTGAGCAGGCCTGAGCCATTTAAAGTCACACGGAGTGGCCGCTCAGGGGATTAATTATCGGAAATCTATGTGTAAGTGAGTGTGAGGGATCTGGCTAACGGTAAACGGGTGGGTACTATATATGCAAAGGGTTGCATTGACTATATTGAAGTTACAGACTTGATCAAGACTTAGCTTGATCTGCGGAGTCCGGACTGGTTGAATCACCGACCTGTATTATGGATGTTACGGCTAACAGCAAAGAAATAGGTTGGCCGCCTTTGTTTGGTCATAAACAACCATTTTTAGTAAGGCCGTTCATACGCAATCATTCTCGCTCGGCCCATTTTTGAGGTTGGCGCTCAATAGAAACCATTATGGCATCGACAACGGCAACCATTGTATGTGCTGTTGCGATGCAGTAGAAAGGAGAATGGTCTTATATACGGTCTACAAAAGTCGCAATGGGGCGGCGGCTCCACCTGTGAGCCCGTGTGGCCCGACGCAACCTACCAAAAAAGGGTGATTGCTCAGGGCGACCTGCTAAAAGTGGTGTAAACATAAAAACTAGAGAACTCCTACGTTTCTGCAGTTAGCTGGAATTGAGATAAAGCAGATTTTGAACTATGATTAAATAAATAGTAGTCTCTGATACATTTGCATATAAATAAATATATTGTAGGTTTCAAGATTCGAAACTTGAAGTATTGAATACTCTTTCAAAATGGGCTACATACTATTACAATATATTGCAACCTAAGGGAGCCTAAAACAGATCCTAAGATCAAACTGAAGAGCTTGAGGAGTATCCAGGCTTTCAGGATTCAGCCTGTTCAAGGATTGCAATCCTTTGAATTGCATACACACACACTTAATAGTATTTATGAGCCGGTATCATATTTCTTCTGTAACGAAGCATTTCAGATTATGTAGAGTATGGGGCCGGATGGGCCTCGGGAAAGGTGTGACAAAACGTGACAACTGTTACTCTCCTCAGAATGTTTTGCGGCATTCCAGAAAATAAGATTCAATCTCGAAGGATCATATATTTCATCTATCTTGAAAGTAGTCACTGCAGAAAATGAGATTCCAAGCGGACCCTAGTTCCGCATTGGCTCCGCCGGAGTTTTTAGCAACTCCACCAATTGATGGACATTCTGGATATACGTGGCAGCCATGCCGCAGCCTGCTACAAGTAGACTAAGTTTCTATCCCATGCCTGTGAGAGATAAGCAATATAGAAAGATTAAGTACATCTAACATCAATCTATTACGCACTGCGGTCCAGTGCAGCAGTTACGAGGCTAAAATTAAATGATTTCTATCCCTTAGAAAGTCAAGTTATCTTAGTCTACATCTAGTACATCAGGTGGAGATACCAATCACGCAATTTCCGCATGAAATCCGACCGAAGTTTGAAACCTTGAAGCGCTCAGCCGTTCTATTTTTGTACATCGTGAGAACGTGATGAAATTTTCGATCAAATCGCTAGGCGGCTATCGCCCATCTAAATAACATGGGGCGCTATAGCCAAGTGGTTACGGCGACAGATTAGAATGCTTGTTATTATCTGTTCCTCTTTGAGGGCGCAGGTTCAAATCCTGCTGGCGTCGCTCATTTTCTTTAGTAGTGCCATTTTTTACCAGTCTTTATGTGCCGGCATTGAGAATTCAAGAGCGGAGTTGATGGGAATGTCATGCCACACTGCCTCGTTGCCCTAGCATGCTGAATAGTACGTATGTATTTACAGTTAGCTCTTTACACACGGCCAGAAACAGCCAGGCCTCATGACTGACTCATTGTTCTCTCAGACGGACATCTGCGTGGGCAAAAGACCCTATTTGAATTATACCATATGACACTCATGGGATATCTTTATTATAACAAATCCTTCACAGCGCTTATCCTGTCTGTAAGGGTGGAGCGCCTTCCAGAAACGCCTGGAAGTTCTAAGTTACGACGGAGTGCGAATTAGCGCTTGATCAATGCCGATATGGTTTCCCAAAAAAGATAGCATGTGACAGCCGTGACATGAGAAATGATTAATGATGACATGTGAATGGCATGTGTCATTGATCAGCTGGCGCCTCACCTTAAACGCCGGACATCAGTCCTTGGCGGAGTTTCCTAGACTCACCATTGCTGTCCTAGTTTCCTAGATGCCATGTGGAGTCTACAATTGCAAGGAAACACGTTGAATCACTTCATTTATGGACCCTTATCAAAGCAAATCGGAGAGGACTATGAACGAAGGCAAGGTTAACGCAAGGTGAGCCGCATCGATTGGTATTTTCGGATCTGAGACTGAAAATTTTCGGAATCCCATTAAGGCCGGGGCCAATGTAAGCTCTCTTATCCTGAGCGCCAGTTGCGACCATACAGTAGTTTTTTTAGTGAGCGCTTAAAATGCATACCCTTTATTAGCACGAGAGCAGAAAACGCAGGCAAAGTTTAAATTTTAACGCCCAAGATTGAGGGGAGCCAGGGGCTACCCGGTATGGAACCGGAAATAGCTGTCAGGGAGCGAATTCGGCGTCTCTTACATAAGTAGTAATGTAATGGCACGATTGTAAAAAAATTACGTATACATCTTGGAAGATATTTTCAGGCGCTTATAAAAAAAAGACTTTAAATTCGCACGGAATTCGGGTGAGGCAGTGCACTAACACCCCTTGAACCCACACCTCCATCAGCGTGCTAGCGCTCAATCCTACCAATGTTGGACTCCAGTCAGAAGGCGAATATCAGACCAGTGAAGCATGGTGGCATATCGAAGAGTACTGGCGGGGAGCAAACCGTGATTGCCAGCGGACGTAGAGGTATGATCACATCCACTGCTTCCTGATCCTCGAGGCCTCTTGCCAGCATTTCCTTACTTTCTTTGCTAGGTATGGATACCCTCGAGAGGCGCATCGCTCCTGGAGCATTCCACAACTCTGGAGAAAAGTTTGATCCCCCAAAGTGCCATCCGAGGACTCGCGCAGCCATCTTGACATTGATCATAAATTGGTTGCAGGACGTTGCAAAAGACTATGCGATGCTTTGGCTTTACGGCCCAACTGGCTCTGGTAAATCGGCCATCGCTCAAACGATTGCTCAATACTGCTATGAGCGGGGATATCTCGTTGCATCGTTCTTCTTTTCCAAGGGGCAGGCTGGCCGAAATAGCGAGAAGCACTTCATGGCCACCATCGCTTATCAAATTGCTTTATCGATCCCCGATACCCGCCGCTACATCAGCCAAGCTATTGAGAATGACCCGTCCGTCTTCTCCGGCTCCTTAGAGGCCCAGCTCCAAGCCCTGATTGTCAATCCGTTGTCTCAGGCATGCGCAGCTCTTGGGGATAAAAGCGGCGCTGTGAAAAAATGGGCGCGCCTTTTGGTTATTGACGGATTAGATGCGTGTCAGGGACCGAACATCCAGCGTTACATTGTCCGAATCTTATCGACCGCCCTAATCCATAAAAAGATCCCATTCTTTATCCTCGTTTCAAGCAGACCCGAACCTCCGATTCGCGATTCTTTCAACTCGTATGACCTGCGTGACATCATCTCCACCCTCGTGCTTGATGAGCAATACCTCCCTGATACAGATATCAAGCGATATTTTTGGAGTAGATTCGATAACATCAAGCAAACACACCCATTGAGAACGTACATTCCGCCTAATTGGCCATCTCCCCAAGTCATCAATTCTCTAGTTCAAAAGGCGTCAGGCCAGTTCATCTATGCTTCGACTGTCATCAAGTACGTGGACTCTGCTCAACACAGACCAGTCGAACGATTGGAGGCTGTGCTTAGAATTTCAAGCCCTGTCGGTGATACACCATTTGCCGAGCTCGACTGCTTGTACAGACACGTATTTGCTTCTGTTCACAATATCAAAACTGTTCTGCGCATACTCGGCGCACTTCTGTTTGGACAAAGACTTCAGTCGAAGAAGAGTGCGAGTGGCAGTATGGAATTAGCAATCCCAATTACCGACCCCCGTTTTCTCGAAGAGTTACTCTCCCTCAACCGTGGCGATGTCTACTTCGCTCTAGGTGACTTGCATTCGATTTTGAATGTCCCCGATCCAAGGCGAAATTCCTCCTCAACCAATTCGAAACCTCCTGAGGCTGGGATACGAATTCTTCACAGCTCTCTCATTGACTTCCTGACGGATCGATCGCGTGCCGGGAGGTACTTTATCAACTCTGTCAAGGTTCATGCAGAACTCGCAAGAGCGTGTACAAAGAACCTCTTATCAGGTAAGCGCTCATGACGTTTTAGTGTTTGACGGCTTTTGATAGATGGTTTTTTTCCCATCAAGGTCATAAATTTGTCCATCAATACTCTGGTCAGGCGTTAGTCACGCATTGTCGTTACTCTGTTTTGACACACGAATTACTTAATGACCTGCTGAGCTTCGACCTCTCAATCTGGATGACGACCTGCAAGACATGGAACGACGGAGGTGGTCCTTTCGACCAGGCTTGGACAGAACTCCCGCACCTCTTCCAATGGTTTCGTTCCCAGGTATGCTTCTTGGCTTCCTTTTGATAGCAAATTAGTCGTCACAAAAATAACTGATTCTTATCACCTATCCCATTTTAGACATACCCTGACCCCCAAAAAGACTTATACGATCGCCACATGATAGCATGGGACCAGTATCTGCATGCGGAGCTCAAAAGCTATTTGTCCGATGAGTACTTGACAGACCTACTAGCGTTCGTAACGTACCCTCATCTCCTTTGGGATTGGATTCATGTCTGGCCGCTACTGGGACTATCCTATAACGAGACTTTAGAACGGGAAGAAGCAGACCGACAGGCTCTTCATTTGACTGGTCTGAAGCAATCTTTCGACGCTTATAGGCATATGCTATCCGAATTCCTCATTAACCATGATCGGGCGGGAAGATATTCAATGACGAGCCACATCTATGCTAGGGTTGCCTTCCGGATAACTAAATATCTGTTCGAGCCAAAGCGCCCGTAAGTCCTACCTCGTCAAGGTTATCTTTCGCTTCAACTGCTTACTCTTATCAACAGGGGTAAACTATACGAGTACAAACTCCCTTCGGAATGGCAATGGTATCGTCAGGAGCATGATGATAAGATATTCCGAGAACGGAAAGCCAAGGAAACTTTCCAAGCTGGTTTACAGTATCTCCCCTTCTTCTTGACAGAAGCGGCACCACTTCCGGAACTGGTAACATATCTGGAGACAAATCAATTGGATCCAGTACGAGCGAAGGAACTTCCCAGAGAAGCTTGGGCAGTCGACAAGGCGAAAGTGGAGGAGGAAGTAGCCTCTTATCTTCGAGTGAGTCTTGTCATGGAAATTTCACCCCCCCCGATTTCTGAACTCATAGCTATCCAGAAATGTAAGGGCGATAAGGATGTAGCCATGCAATCATAGCAAAACGATAACAACCAAGTTAGAATTATAGACGTGTGTGTGAACTTATGGGACAGTCGGGGACTCTAAAAATGTATCTATCTTTTGTATCATTAACGTCGGGTGTAGAGCTGCGATGTGAGGTCGTAACTCCAAGCGTAATATATATAACTACATGTTTCTCTCTAATTAACATGTACATAACTAGATGCTGTCATTTCAAATTCAAGATGGTTATTGCGCCTTGTGGCCCACGGAGATTGATTGCTAGGACCTACGTGGTTCGGGAAACTCGACCTTTCAAATTTCATCTGATAGTCGGAACTTATCCTTCGCGGTCAATGAAATGGCAGGAAGAAGGGCTATAGCGTGGGCCTAGAAATTCGAAAGATCATGATGATTGATGATTTCTCATGATGATTTCTCGATGAGGGGGTTCAAGTTGCACCCAAGGTCCTACTTTTGGTAATATAACTTTCGTTAGCAGCATGTAGCCTGATCATGAGGCCTGGGCCTGAGGGCGTCTTTTAGATTTTACTTCACATTTAATCGGAAACAGCACAGCAAAATTAATGCGCAGCCAGCAAATGTAATGTTCCTCGCGGTACATACTACAACACCCCCTGAGGGTCATCAGGCTTATTATTACCACATGGAAATGGCGTTCCGCTTTGCCCAACTTGAAGTTACCCTTTTATCGATATGCCATGAATCATTTAATCGATGATTGAAATCAACTTTCCACGGAGATCGGTGTTTTTCATTCCACTCAGGGCTCAGTTAAATGGCATCGTGTTATAGGTTCTAGAAAGTCTCAAACTAGAACTTAAGGTTTTTTGAGCCAGTTGAGTGTGTTGTAGCCTGGCTTGTTCCATTTCGCTAAACTAAGAAACGTGTAGGAATGTTAGCCGACATAAACGACGCGGAAACGTCGGGCTTCCATTTTAGCAATCTTCAATTCTTGGCAAAGATGGACCTATAGAATTGCAAAAATGAGTACTACACAATGTCGGCAATGGTTGCCTTAATATCTCACTTGGTCGTGGGTCTAGAGACCTTATAGAGTCGACCAGAATCTGAATTAAGCCTTGAACGTTTGAATATGGGTTGAACATGGGACGCCAAGGACGGATGTGAATATCTCATCGATAGGATGCACTATAGATTGGTGATAGTGACATTATATCAACAAGGAAAGGCACCCCCTTCGAATTCATTACTAACTTGA